AAGCCTACTGAGAAATCTTTAATGTTGGGATGCTTTTTACTGCTGGGTTGCTCTTGTAAGAGTGCCAAGACAGAACACAAGGGCGTATATAATAAGAAATCAGATGCAGGCAGTTTTGGAAGACAGGGGTGTAATGATTCACAAAAATCATCATAATTTGGTTTGATACGATACAGTGTTGTCTCAATTCAGTACGTTTTTCAATACAGCAAAAATAAGGAGTGGCTGAAAATCAGCCTTATGTTAATATTGTAATTTCATTTTTTTTAGAGCATGCACTTATAAAAGTGCAGTAATTTATAATGTTGTCCTATTTGAGCGGTGTGCTGTTCCTTCCTGTTGGCAGTTTTTAGGGTCAAGAGGAAGTGATATTTTTAGAGGAGGGAGGGTTGGCCCTTGTTGTGGCCTTGCTTGCTTAATTTTTATTATTCTGCATGCAGTATAATAAATAATAAAATGTGTGCTAGGTTTGCTCAAGTTGATACCTGGGCGTACTGAATCGAGAGGTTTGTACGGAGCGGTACAGTGCATTGTGTCGTTACACTCATACTTGGAGGTTGCGGTGTGTTTTATTTTATTTGTTTATTTTATTTTTCCTTTTAATAAGAGAAAGCTGTAATACTTCATCATTGTGATTATTTTATTTGCAGTTATATCACCTATTTGACTATTGTTTTTCCATTATAATCTATCTATAATCTATCGCTTCTCTTTTTATTGGCAAAAAAGTTTATCCTCTTAAAGTGAGCATACAAACCTCTATGCAAATTTTAATTCAATATTTGTCTTCCTTCAAGTCATTATTTGACGTCAAAATTCACTTATAAATACAAGGATGAAAACCAAGCTACAGAGTCAGAGACTACTTTTAATTTGGGTCTGAACCCTTAAAGTTAAATTCGCTAGTCCCTGCAGTCCTGGCAGCGCCACAGGGCTTATGGTTTAAGATGTCGCCTTTGGAGCTGTGCATGAGCTGAAATTCTGTAAGAGGCCCACAGGTGCTAGAGGACATTTCACTGATTCTGTGCCCAGCAGACATTGGACACGCTCCTTGCCCTTTTGTACTGATCCACGACCAGTTTCTCTTACCACAGTACTAGCTCTAGTAGAACTGGCAGAACCTTTGCAGATCAGCAAAAAGGATACATTTTTTTCAGTCAACACCTAAATGTCTACACTGTTGGCTGGATGATGTTCAGAATCTTTCAGTTGCTGTTATTTCACTATTATTTAAGGTGACTGCAATTATTTTACATTTTTACACAGTTAGCTTTCACAAATGTACATATGTTGCAGCAGACAGAATGTGAATTGGTCACTGATTAGCCACACAGCTTCACTATCGTATAAACACTACATGATTATTAGCGTACAGTGCTACAAAGTGTCCACGTTCGAAGCACTGACTCATCAGAAAAATCTGCCGTCTGAAGCAGATCATTCGGTTACCTCACATGAGAGCGTGTTTTATCCCATTGAACGTTATTCAGTTAATAGGTGAACATGTCGTCGTCGTCATCATCATCATCATCCTCAGAATAACTGAGCTGATGAACCTGTTGGATGTTTCAAAGATCCCCATAGTATGTAAAACCTGTACAATTCTAGTTAAAGCATGAATAAACTGTTATGTTGTTTGTTTATGGTCTGCAGTGGTGCGTTCTTTCCTCCGTTTGGTAATCATCATTTGTGATTTTAATAAATAATTGCCCTGAAACATACTAGGAGCCACGGCAGAGGCTTTACACATTCAAGTTAACGTTTTCTGCGTTCAAATGTGTATTTTTCAATACGTATTTGAATGTTATTTTATTTTTGACAGCCCTAGTTGGATTGAGGCAAACACATGTAAATGAAAGAAAACAGAAAACACATTTATTGTGACACTTTTCAAAAGTTGTAACTTTTTAGTTGGTGCTCTAACACTAAGAGAACAGCGGTCAGTAATGTTTGCTTATTTAAACTTGACCTGTCTGTTGTTAATTGGAAGCTGCTAAGTATTGACAGCTAGGAAGCCTTATAGCTAATCAGCAAGCTGGACACTTTGGGCTTGTACTTGAATAATTGTCAGTGAACAAATTAAGACAATTCAAATGAAAATTGAAAATAATCATCAGCTAAAATGTGTTCGTGACAGGCCTATCAGTACCATTACCTTGAGTAATACCCATTCTGGACTTTTACGTTTTCCGATGCTGTCTTTTAAATATGAAAAATATGTACAATAAGATGCGAACATTTAACCTCTAGATCTTAGTAAAAATCCAGTTTTACTAAAGGAAAATGGAGATATACTCCTTGCTCTTGGTGTTTTTTGTTGCAGCATCATACCAAGTGAATGCTAATATTCATAACATGCTTCTCAGTCAATAAGCGGGCCAAATTTTGGAACAAGCGTGCTTCTTGGCTTACTAACGCTGATAAAACTATTGTACTGAAATTTGTTGTTTGATATTGTTTTGATATAAGTTTCGGTTGGTACTATACAAGTGCTGAATTTCACTCCCCACTTAAAGGTGTTTTTCGGATTTGTCAAGAGCATCAAGTGCCGTGGCATTTTTATTTGGTAGTGAAATCATGTCCAAATGTTGTGAACGAAGAGGGGAAAAAGGGGAAGAAAAAACAGACTCCATTTTTGCTGCAGTGGCGTCTGAATGACATCAGTGCAGCAGATGTTTTTGACAAATCCTTGATTTTTGCAGGATGGAGGAGTGACTCTCACCACCCCTTCACTGCTTCTTTCGTATGTTTCTCTTCACACTTCTCTATCGCTGTCTCACGTTCTCTCTCTGTCTCTCTCTCCCTCAGTATCTCTCTCACAGGTTGTCTCGTTCAGTTTCAGAGTATGAGGCAAGTACTGTAAGCTCATGTTACAGCCTCACAGCCCCCCTCTGTTAGGCAGGATATGAATGATTTGGTGAACAAGTTTGAGGTGAAGTGAAGAAATAAATAGAAGGCTGCCATAAGTTGAAGTGGACTAGGCTGGAAGGGATGTACAGATGAATAGATGGATGGATGGATGGAGGGATTTAGAGATGTAGATTACAGTGTAAGAGAACACCGCGTCTTGGTTTGTTGTTTTGGAAACTGCTTGGAAAAGACCCATGTACAGAGCCTCTGTCGCTGAGTCTGCAGATCCAAGGCCACATTTAGCCTCGTCATTACAGCGTGAAGACTTACTGCAGTTTCTTGATTTGTGTGTGCAGCCGGAAATGGCGTAATATGGGTGAGAAACCTCTGCGTATATCTGAACAAAGCTCAGTGAGGTTTTAGTGTCTCTTGAAGGCGCGAGAGTTTCCGTTGTGTATGTGTGACACACAAAACTACAAATAATTTTGGCTCTCTGCTTTGAAAATGGCAAACGGTGCTGGTTGCTGTCACTTGGTGCTCGACAACATGAATAGAATTAAATATTTTCAGTAATATATGACTGTATCATATGATATTTAAGCTTGCATTAATAAAGTTAATGAGCCCACGCTTCATTAGTGCTGGTACTCTATGCTAGAAGAAAGTCTTTTAGACCTGGTGTGTATTACCATTGCTTTGCCATATTAAAGGGCCTATATCATGGGGAAAATGAATTACCCTCCCTTTTAAAATATGTAAAAGTTTGAAAATGTATCATTCGCTACCCAGTCCATACAGTCCTTACGTGGAAACTAAGCTGCAAGAGCTGCCCGTTTTGAATTAATTGGTTTTATGATGTCATGAGAACCAACTCATTTGCATCCGTCCACATTCAGCCTACAGTAGTTTCGCTTCGTCCATTCGTAATAAAGTTCTAGAGGGCGTTTCAGCTCTGTGTGCTCTTTCAATAAGGCACAGTACATCCAATCAGAACACAGTGCATTTATCTTATATCACTCATAAATCACAGTATAAAAAGCAGCCTGTTCAATTCTAAAGGATAAAGAGAGGAAAACGGTCTCATGAAAATGACTAATGACCATTTTTGCTACATAAAACCACACAGTGGACGGCAGGGGAGAAAATAAAACACAAAAAATGTACAATAAGGGCTTGTTAAGTTATTTTATATACAGTACCTATAATAGGTTTATTTGCCAAAATGTGTTTTTAGATGTGAACATGAAGTGAATAAAATGATAAATGGTCTACTGTAGTTATCTGTTTACAATTTTTTTTTTTTTTGGTCAAGTTATCTGCTTTGAGATTTGATCTCCACTTTCGGAATATGATGAATTCAAGATATTAATTTTTTTAATAAAATGAATTAATTTTCAATGTTCTGCAGCTTTCTCCTTAATTTTAGAAATGTCTATGGCTCTATTCATCATTCTGGACTTTTCTGCACATTATTTTTATTTCTAGCTTTCTAGTGTCCTAATAATCATTTAAGCCTTGCTAAGCTGTCTAAGAATAGCATATTACAATAATTTTATCTTTTATTTCTTTTTCTGTGACTGAATTGGATTTGTATTTGCTTGTTCAGACTTTTGTGCAGTGAACTTTTGTACTATGCAAACATTTGAACAGTAGTGAATCTAGTTTTGATTGGACTGTTTTGTTCTGTTCTGCGTCTCTTAAAATTACACCAAAGTCAACTTTGGTTTAGCGCCGTATTGTAAACGTTAACCAGACAGAAACCACATTTCCAGGAAGGAAACTATTTTCTGTCGATGTAAAAGTATTGTTTTAAATCAATGTAATGCCACCAGCAAATGACCTCCATTGCAATTACTGTAATGTTTAAATTGGACAACCAGAAAGAAACAATTTTGTGGGTATTTTATCTGTATCGAATGTATTGCTATTACTGAAAAACAATATCACAGGGTGTGAATGTGATGGTATACTGGTACAGACTGTTTATCGGCCTGCGCTACTAGAACAAAAGCACATGTCTAATGGGCTCTCCAGACAGCAGCTTTCGTGCATAGTTTATTATAAACGTCTCTGAACTTGCGATTTCATGGAAAGCTCAAAGCCCTTCGGCTGCTGTGTGCTAATGTCTCTCTCCTCCCCTCTCTCTTCAGGTGCTTCGGCAGTGCCGCTATGCTGGTGTCAAGCCCGTGAGTGAGCCTCTGTGCCTTGGGCTCCAGGCCTCCAGGCTCTAGGCCCAGTCTGAGCCTCCAGCAGCAGCATGTCCAGCTCGGGCTTTCCCCCCAGCCAGGGGAACTTCAGCAGCGAGCAGAGCCGCTACCCACCCCACTCAGTCCAGTACACCTTCAGCCCTGTGCGCCATCCGCCGGTGAGTACTGTCAGAGTTTTCTCCCTGTCTGCACCATCAGAATAAGAATCCTGTTTATTCACTGTGTTCCCTAAAATACATTTACCGTGAATTAGGAACTTGTCTTGATGTTTTGTCGCAACATGCTATGTTCAGCACAATGTCCATACACTGTAAAAAAAAAAAGTTGAGCAGGGCAGGATTTTTGTGTTTGTGAGGTTTGAACCTATTTGCATTGTTTTAGGGATGCATGATGGTATCAGAATCATATTGAAATCAAAAGGTGATAAGGACTGTGATTAAAAAACGATCAGCACCAGACAGATGATTACATTTAACTCATATTTCAAAAATATGATCACTGTATTGTGCTAAACATTCTAAAAAGCAGAATGTTTAGGTTACATTGGGCTAATGTGATAAAATGTATTTATTTTATTCATTTTACTGCAGTTGTAACTTCACAAAAAAAATCTAATTTCAACATTTTATGAATGTTGAATGTTTTTTTTTTTATCTGCATCAGCTGATATGTGCATGAAAAAGATCTGATATCTACATTAGCCCATATCGCTACATCCCTACATTTTCATTCAAAATATTTTTTTAATGTTTTGGCAGATTGTCAGACAACAGAGGCATAAATAATTTGATTTATGCATGTTTTCTGCCCCTGTACTTTTGTTATCCGTCAGAATATTTCAGAGGTCAGCAGAATTAGGATGGCTAGCGCTGACTGTTCACAATGGGCAGCTAGTGTCAACCAGTACATGTTAAATACAAGCTTATTACATCTTAAATACAATGAATTTATAAGTAGCTAGCTTTATTAGTGTAGATTCTTGCTGATCAAAATGAAAGTTTTTCTGTCCAGTAAACCAGACCAAATAATTCAAATAATAATTTGAATTCTGAAGTGTTCACATATTGTTAATTATTTCCCTCATTAGTATTCAAAAGCTTTATCTTTCGTTATCTGTTCGGACTTCACCAGAATTCTTAAACGCTCTTATCGATTCCTGACAATTTTCAGAGTTAGAAGCTTATTTATCACAGTTTTACGCAAGACATGTTATCATAAAACCAGTGAAGAAGCAGATAGACAAGATATAAAATCATCTTCCATGCAAGTAATCTTAGCTAAAGGCTGAACGCAGTCAGCAACATCCCCCCATGATTTTGCAGACTAAAGCAAGTTAATTCAGTGCAAGATATAAAAATGGCAAACAGAGAATTAGCCAAGTCCTCAGATTGAATCCTTAATCCTGAATTCGATTCTTGTTTCCGTCTTGAAGTTTTCTCAGTGGAAGTGAACCTGGGCCAGTATGTTTGTAAAGGAATTTGAACTTGGCTATCTGTTCAGTAGACCATCTAAAACGCCTTTCAAAACACATCGGTAGACAAAGATTTATGTCTTAAACTTGCTTTTATGTCATCACTGCTATCAAGGTAAACAAAAATCCAGTCAGACTCTTGTATCTTGTTATCTGAGCTGATGTTACATCTGTCTCTCAACATCTTTGGGATGTCTAGCATTAAAAAGTGATGTATTAATGTGTAACTATTTGCAACAAATTAAAAACTAAAATATTTTTATTAAGGAACTAAGACAAATGTACACTTATTATGGTTAATTGTGAAATGAGTATTTAATTACTCGTTTGGAAACGCCAACAAGTATTTGAAGCCTGTAAAATGCTCTTCGAGCCAATCCTAATCATTAAAAATTATCGCGTTAGCGTTATGCAAAATGTTTGTGCTTTAAAGGCAACGTGAAGCACAGTTACGATTACTGCTTAGAGGCCATATTCTACATTTTTCTGTCAGCGTATAAGGTCTCTGTTAGTTTATGTGCTTAAAACAGTCTTGTTTTACATTTATTTTTTACATTTATTTTTACATAATCATTTCCCATTTCCAAACTCCCTTGATATCCTTAGAAAAAACAGGCTCTATTTATTGCTGTGCCTTTAAGATTGACATATGTAAATATCCTCTGTTGTGATTGGGTGCCCTGTCTTGTGCCTGTATCTCATTCAAAAAGCAGCCCAAGCTCAAACGCACCTTAAAACTTCAGTTTGAATGGGTGGGCTTAAACTACTGTAGGCTGAATGGGCTGATGCATGTAAATGCATTGGTTTTCGTGACATCACAAAAACAAATTCACAACAGGCTGTTTTTGCAGCTTTGTTTTTATAGATTTCATAAATTGGGAGTGAATACATTTTGAAACTAAGGTAATGTTTACATACTACACAACCTTTTTGAAAAAGAGATAGGGATCCTTTAAATCCCCTCAGAGGTTCCTAGGAGTTTGTTGGCTTTCTTTATGTGTTGTTCTACATTTGTTTTCTGTGTTCTACTGTGTGTACAGCGTTCAGCCAAAGTGTTTTCTGCTTTCTGCTTTCATTTTCTGGCAAAAGGAGAAGGGCCGAAATAGCTTATTAAGCATACACAACTGTCCCTTAAATTTCAAATAGCTACTGCATCTGATGTCATCGTTTTGTCTTATCTTTACTTCCCCTGTTTGTCGGATGAAAGGAAGCCTTAAGCACCAGGGCTTTAATGCTATGAATCAGTTCGGTTATCACTGCTATACATTCCTCAAGGCTGCGGAAACGGATTCAACAGACCCTAGCTGCACTCTCTCGCTCTCTCTCTCTCTTGCTTGCTCTCTCTTGTTTACTCTCTCTTGCTTACTCTCTCTTGCTTGTTGTGTTGAAGATTGAGGCGATGTTTATGAGAAGTTGTTTGTAAATAGTTTGGGGTAAGGGAGCTGAGACCTGCATCACGAGGCACATTCAGTTTAGTTAGGATTCCTGTCTTAACAAAAAAATACAGCCATTCATTTCACAACTTTCCTTGTTAACCCAGGTTTAGATACTGAAGCTATGATTGATCCCTGTGTACGTATAAGGAAGTGTATACTTTAAAGTAATCATACTACTGGGTACGGCTGGGTAGTATAACAATTTTTATCGTTATCATGACAAATGGTGTCACAATATGCTTTTCTGAGTGTATCATGGATATAACCAGGACTTAAAACACTTCCCAACTGCATGTTTGACTACAAACAGAGCAAAATTAGCCCTGTTTAGAAACAGAAAAAAATATATAATGTGACATGTATCATGAAAACTTCTTATATTGGTATTACATTTCTTCCATATCACTCACCTGTACTGTACGGAATCCCCAGTATCCAATATAGACATTCTGGGCTGACGCTGATATCTGATCTGATTTCACATGTGTGTCAATCAGTGCTGAGATATACACATTTATAAAATTTAGAAATAGGGAGTAAATCCACCTGGATGTGCCTTACAAGTAAATGCATAAATTTTTGGTAGAGGGTTGCATATGTGGTGCAATAAATAAGGCTACGTTCACATTACAAGGTTGAAGTGGCACAAATCAGATTTTTGCCCTAATGTGACTCAGATCTGATGTTTTCAGGGCTGTGCGGAGACGCAAATCTGATCTTTTCATATCCGACCTGAGGCATTTTCATATATGGTGCTAGATCGGATTGGTATCGGATTCGTGGCCATGTGACCTTAATGTGACGCTCAGATCGGAATTCATGTGCTTTTTTCCACTGTGCGTGCGCCATCATTCAGCGTTACCATGGCAGCAGCGCCGAACAGAAGTTAAGCCTTCTGTTTGGCGGTGTAAAAGGTGGAAAAGCAACTCATCTCACACTTTTTCTCTTTGTCTCGCTCTAATAATGAAGCTGAGAGCTGATCAGAGTTAATGATCTTCACAGCGAAGCTCGTTCTGCTTGTTAGTCTGTTTGCTGATGATGAACGTGACGCGCGTGATTCATTCACGTGACGTTACTGAGTAGGATGTGCGCATGTGGGTGATATCAGCACGCCGGTTTGTTCACATTAATGACAGATTTGAATCACTTACCTAAACGAGTGTGAACCATCATGTCAGAGAGATTTGAGCAAAAAATCTGATTTAAGCAATGAGGCTTGCAATGTTACGTAGCCTAAAACGTTTTAGTGTAGTAACCCAGCATAGCCTAAATGCTAAACACAAGTCATCAGATCTAATCAGTGGATGTCACGGTTTGGCTATAATCGTGCATCACTGCATACCGCACTAATGTGAAGACGGTAAAGCCATTGTAACAGCATGACGTAGTGTTGGTTGTGTTATCAGTGCTGCTTTTTGCTGTTAAAATTGTTTTACATGTTTAATAAATTTGTGTAGTATGAATTCTTGTTCTTTTGCTCATAAGCGATGTTTTATTTTTTTTATTTTTATTTTTTTTTTTAATTGCACTCTATTCAGTATTAACAATTATACATTTAAATCTCACACAGCAGGCCAACATACATAGGATTTTAAGAAAGATTTTCCCACAGTGGGACCCAAAGTTTCCAGAATTTGTCCGTCTGGTGACGTAGATCGTAGGTCAGTTTTTCCAGGGGAAGCAGAGTTGCAGCTTGGGAAAGCCACTGCTCAATAGATGGTGAAGAGGGGCTGGCCCATCGAATTAGGATACATTTTTTTGCCAGAAATGAAAACATTAGAAACAAAAATTTGCCATCAGTATCAAAAATATGTTCTGCTCCTATTCCCAAAAGATACAGGGCAGGGGATTTCTGAAATTGTGTCTGAAGGATATTTTCTACCGTGATGTGTACTCTATCCCAGAAAATGCCAATTTTTTTACACTGCCAAAAGGCATGAAAAAACGTTCCTTTTTCAGTTTTACATTTAAAACATAAATTAGTTCTGTCTGGAAACATCTTCTGTAGGCGAACAGGTGTAAAGTATATCCTATTCATGAATTTAAAGTTAAGCTCGTGAACACCAGATGAGGTACACCTGGGAAACAGACCTTTACAAATATTGCACCAGTCCTCTTCTGAGATAGGTTGGTCCCTTTCCCAAATTCCCCTCAGAGTGTCTGACGATGGTTTAACACTCTTTAGCAAAATGCCATGAATTAGTGAAATCAGTCCTCTAGTCTGGTCCTTCTTAGCTAGCAACACTTCAAGAATAAGCGATGTTTTTAACAAGTGGCTTTTCTGCAGAAATTTTACAAAGCATTCAGTGTTTTGATTTTGAACCAAATGAATAGCTTGCTGCAGTTTGCTGAAAAGGACCAGAGGCATCCCCCTCTGCCAGAAAGCTGGTCCAAGAGCTGTTTACGATCCATAATCTCAAACGCAATCTGCCGTGCTGTGATTTAGCGATTTGAAATTTCCACACCAAAAAAAGCGAGACAGAAAATCCAAGTTTTGTGAGACCCACTCCTGGCCCTTCGCTGCTCTTATCTCTCTCATTGATTCTTTAGTTTTAAAAGTTCCTGTTCAGGAAGCTGTGATGTAATGCAGACTGAACTGTAAGGCCAAGCCTTGTTCACTCACTGATGACCTAGCTTTTTATTGAGAAAGAGAGTGGCTGCTTCTGTTGATTTGGAAATTGTGAAATTGCTGTCTCTAGGGCAAAAGTCTTTTAATAAGTCACCGAGACACGGACATGAACTCTGAACGTTTGAGTCTTTGGTTATAAAATTAAAGGTCAAAAGTCACAGTTGTTTCAGGTATGGTTACTTTATGGGGGTGTGTGATATGACAAGCAATATATGTTGTGATATTTAGTTGTTTTGATAAGTTAGAACACAGTGTCCACAGGTCATTTTCACAAAACCGGGTCAAACTATGTCCAGAAATACTGTGTGTTATAATCATTTTGCAGATAAACAATATTAATATAATTTAGATCAATTGGATCTCAAAGTACAGCAAAAAAGTTACTTATTTTAGTTCTGATTACTGCAGTGTAATCAGAACCTTTTTTCATTTTTTTGTTAGAAAGACTTTTAACTGTTTAATCTCTATTTTAATGTTTTTCTAGTAAAGTTTAAAGTTGTGAGCATGAATGGATGTCAGTGTGTTGTGAGAAAATAGCAAAATACTACATTTTGTACAGTATACATGTTTTATCAATAATACTTAGCTATAAAAATCTTAGTCCAACAACAGTGCTTGATTATGAAAAGAAAAGTTGGTAAAAGAACAGTCTTTGAATCTTAACTTGGGTGAAATGAGAATTTTGTCACTTAAGTTGGAAAAAATCGGTTTATAGTAAATTAAATCATTCAGGTTTATTTTTAAATATTTAACCAGACATTGTTTTGTATATCAATTAAAAGACAAGCATTAAGTTCATCATATTAATTTTTTCAAGTAGAGTCCCAGCCCTGTCATGTTCCTGAGAATAACCCATATACTCAGAAAAGCACGTTGTTATTTATCAGAACAGTGATATCGCCCACCATTACTTTATTATAGCATGCATATATCTATCTGTTTTCATTGTATGCTATTTTTTTTCTCCTCACTCATTCTGAGAATGAGACTTTGGTCTTCGTGAGGTTGTTTGACCTGTATAAGTGTGGGTAAACTAAACAGGTTCTGTTTGGGGTTTTTCAGAGTATCTTACTTGAACCCAGACGAACACCAAACCAGGGCATAGGAGACATGTCGGATCAACTGGCTTAGCAACTTGAACGCTTGCCATGAAGGTCGTTTGCAGTTTATTTGCTGAATTTGATTACAGAGTTCTGAGAACGGGACTTCCACAGGAAGGTTGGGTCAGTGGATGACCGCACTTTCTCTGCTGTGTGTTCTGACTTTCTGCTCCGTGATATTGTGGCTAGGAAATAGGAAAGACTGTCTTGTCATGACAAAAAAATCTTTTAATCTCTTAAACCCTTATGTACACTTCTGCCCGTATGTGGGTCCACACCTCAATTCCTCACTCTCATAGCTGCATAACTCGCATATTAGTTTTTAGTTACCGAGTAACTTATAGTAGTTACTGTGTACTTTTAATATTGATAGTGCTGGTTCTCAAATTTAAACCAACATACACATGAACACATCAGCTGAACTTTTTATTATTCGTATCCAACTATCTATGGGGTAATATTTGACTGTGTTGCTTGGCAACCATATCCTACTGTTAATAGACAACGTTGTTTGGAGGAGGAATTTTTTTATGGCTGTGACTGTTAATAATAAATTAATAAATTATGGAGTTTGTACTAGCCATGACATGATACCACTTTTTCGTTTCTGATATTGAGACCTTGAGTGTTGACTGATGCAGGATGGGATCATATCCTTTTTTTTTTTTTCATCTTCTGATATCTGATCCAGCATTTTTTGCTGGTATCAGCCTGATACCATTGATACTGGTGGCGTTTCTATTTTACTCTAAAATACCTTCATGAATTAAAGAATTAAAAAACTACAGGTATCTGTTCACCTGTGCCTTTAAGACTTCTTAAGCAGGTGCACTTTACTGTTTATACTTGCCTCCTCTTCTTCATGAATTTATTTTTAAGTTTGATTTCATTTCTATTTTAATTTTAATTAACTACAACGCACATTCAGGTACCTTGTGTTTGAAAACATGCCAAATAAAATAACTTGCCTTTTTATTGTTGTTTTACAAAAGCACTCAGCCACCCAAGACCCATTACAGTGATTTTACTCTGCTTTGCATTGTGTTTAACACCCTGCCCCTTATCTGTGGTACAATTAGGAGGTCATTGCTTCTCATGGCTTATTGCTTTTAATAAGCCTTATGACTAATAACTGAATATTTGGTTTAGAGTTAAAAGGGTTAATGAGGAAACCCCTGAGATTATTTTTAGTCCTCTGCCAGTTTATTCCTGAGATTTTAACCTCGATGTGGTTGTCTCACCTTGACTTGCTGTGTCTAGTTTTGCTTCCTTGTTTTCCTGCTGCTAGTTCTTGTGGTAGTGGTTGCTAAACCTGTTGTAATGGATCAGAAGATACTGATCAACGTTCTTCACATCAGTAGAATTAGTGGTGTGTGTGTGTGTGTGTGTGTGTGTGTGTGTGTGTGTGTGAGGCGAGTCGTTTATGATCTGTATTGTATTTCAGTGAGTTGCGTCTTTCACTGGTGCCTAAAGCAGGTTTGTGTGTGTGTGTGTGTGTGTGTGTGTGTGTGTGTGTGTGTGGTTGTAGTCAGGTGGAGTGTGCGTGCTTGGCTGATATACAAACTGCCTCAGGGTTTCAGAGTGAACTTCGCTGACCTTCACTGAGAGACTGCTGTTGCTCAGATTAGCTCTTGCTCGTCCCGCCTCTGTCGCTGCTGTACATGTGAAAGTCTTCTGAGAAAACTATACATGTTTGTGAAGCTATGTATTTGGGCAGTAAGCATTTATATATTCAAAGAAACCCTATCATTAAAATAAATGCAAATAAGTTAATATATGCAATGCATTGTGATTTTATATGTGTGTTCTCCTCGAGGAAGACAAGTACTTACAGTTACTATCCAATGCCTAGTTTATCCAATCAGTCCTTCATTAAATTAAATTGGGTGCTGCTGATGGAATTAAACAGATCCATGCAATGGCTAGAGTGCAGGAGAAAGTCAAAAACCAAACATGTATCTTTCTAACCATATTCCTTTAAACAACATAGTAATAATCTTTTTAAAAACAAAACCTTCTGGTTGTGTTTTACTGTTTTGATGTTCATTTTTATTCTGATTTTAAATGGTCTTTTTACTTGACACACTTACTGCAAAGATAAGTGGTTTTTCAGAGCAATTGTTGTGACTACCTAAGACTTTAGTACAGTATCTCTCTCTCTCTCATGTCTTTGTAGGCCATGAAGGCCCTCATCTAGGAGCCCTTATTTTTAGTTTTGGGTGTGGTTTACTATCTTTCTGATTGTGTGCCTACTTCTTTGGTATGTGTGTGTAGGAGTTGGCTGTTCCAGAATACCGCAATACTCACCTGCAGGACCAGCAGCAGCGTCGCAGACCCTCATTGCTGTCAGAATTCCACCCTGGGACTGAGAGGTAATGGGTGCACACACACACACACACACACACACACACACACACACACACACACACACACAAACTTGCACCGCTATGATGGCTAAGGCCACATACAACTACAAAGACACGCTGATGTGACCTGCAAGCTCACTGCTTGCAGGAATTTGTAGCTGTCTTCCTCAGTCAGATTGATTTTGTAGTTTTAAAGTCCTTCTCTACTTATATTCACAATTTTCTTATTATGAAAGTTTTGATACACCATTGTAGTGTAGCTGGACGCTGCTTCCTACTTGTGTGAACCGCTTGTTGCAGCGTCCTACTATAAGCAGTTAACTGAATTTGCAAAAGTCCGATAGCTATCAGTCCATGTTAACTGTAGGATTAAAATGATACGTTAGCTACCCCCCTTAACATTTAAGGCTCACAGTATTTCCCTGAAATTGTACTTTACAGGCATGGCATACAAAAAGGCACACAAGAAATGTATCCACTGTGTTCACAAATATGACCTTAGTTTCAGAAGCACAATCCAACAGTTAGTTAGCTACAGGGTACAGATGTAATGTCAGTGCTAAGCTTTCAAATATCAGATGCTGTATGTCCTTGATCCACCCGAAAACATTAGCTGCAAAATATAATTAGATCTCCAGCTAAAATGACCATTAGCCAGTTTGTTCTTTGTTTTGCACTTTTTACTCAACATCTAGAGACCGACTGAACTTGTTCTATTGCGGGGGAGGCTCAGATGTGTAGGGCTGAACCACATGGGTTGTTTAATTTGCCTGAGAGACACCACTGACAATCATTGTGTGTTCTGACACACCCACACAGTTCTGAGGAGGCAGCAGCCTGGAATTTTTGGAGCTTTCTATTGTATTAATTTATATATATGTCATAAAATAAGACGCCTTTTCCGTATCTTTACTATTAAAACTAAAAATGTATATATTTGAAACCATGTTGACGTGGGCTTTAATGCTGTCTGTCTGTTTTGCAGGCCTCCGGAGCGCAGGCATGGCTACGAGCAGCAGTTCCACACAGTGCCAGCCCAGCCTGAGCATGAGGCTGTGGACGCCAAACGGCCTCGTGTCGAGGGCACTCCTGAACCCCACATGCCCCGTCCTCCGCCTGCTGGCATCGTTCTTCCACTCCCTCATACTGTACAGGACGGCATGAGAACCACCGGAGACGTGAAGAAGGTGAGACACTCGCGCACTTAAACACTTAAAATCATATGCGAAAGTTTGGGCACTCCAGCCAAAAGCACATTTCCTCTACAGAGAACGCTCACCATTACGGTTTGTTTGCTGAATCTATTATTGGGGGAAAAAAAGAACATGAAATGTGGCCTGTATTTTCTTCTCCAAGTAGAAACTGTGCACTAAAATTGGCAGAATGCCATAGAGCTGTAGAATGCCATGCTGTAGAGCATATATTAACTTAGGTTCTCTTAGAAAATCAACAAAACATCATTTGGCCCGGGGTTTTCAAAATTTCGCATACGACTGTGTATCTTTTTTTTTATTTATTTATTTATTCATTTATTTTATTTTATGTGCATGCTAAAAACCGAGTGGCTGTAGTGAATTCAGCTTTTCAGCATATCGTGCTTAATCTCGTGGCTGTAACATCTTTTAAAAATACAGATATCTAATCAGTGTTGGCCGATACTCAATATTAAAGTACTGTGCCAAAGTTTAGGCGACTGAGAAAATTATATTTAAAAGCTATTTAACTGGGCAATAAGCATTTACAAGAACAAATACACTTTAATGCAAAGAGTTGTGATGTTATCGTACCTTGTTTGGCTCAATCAGTGCTTCATTAAGTTAAATTTAGATGTGCTGTTTATAGAATTTAATAAATCCATGTGATGGCGGGGTACATTAAGGAGAAATCCAGAACCAAACCTGTTCAACATCGCAGCTACTGAAAGCAAATTCTAGTTACTTTTTATTGAATTTATGTTTATTTTGTATTTATTCTAAAGTTATATAATGCTGTTTCTGGCAAAATCACACTTACTGCAGAAAGTGTTAACTGTATGTATAATTTCTAGGTTGTGTGCTGCAACCAAGGTGCCCCAGAGCGACAAACAAGCATGTGCTTAAGCTGTGTATAAGAAACTGGCCTCATTTCAAGTCTTCGCTCTCTCTTTCCCTCCTTCCCCAGGAGACCCAGTTCAGTATGAAGGTTGAAGCATCATCCCCTGGAGGAGGCATGCAGTCTCTAGGGGAAGAACAGGACGCATCTCCCTCCAAGCTTTCCAAAGAGGAGCTGATCCAGAGCATGGACCGCGTGGACAGAGAGATCGCAAAGGTCGAGCAGCAGATCTTCAAGCTCAAGAAGAAGCAGGTGAGCAGACTGTGCTCCTGTTTCAACCTCTGGCTTGGGTGGCAGCATGAGTTGGTTAAGGACACCTGGCACCAACCCGGGTTCATCCATGAGCAGCTTTGCTGTCCCCGTCCAACCCCAATGCAGCAGGCTCCCATGAGGGGATTACATTTAGCACTAAGCCTTGTGGGCAATGTAGTCCTCCCAGAAGGAGCTTATCGCCCCTCCCTGTCTGTGCCAATTATCCCAACGCTGTTTAAAGGCAAAGCGAATACTGAAGCGTCCATGGCTGTCGATGCTTTACGTTACTTAATTACCTCCGTGATAGTAATTTTATCCTTAGTTTATTGTTTTATTATGTATACACAAGCTTTCTCTCTTTATATAAAACATGAGAAAAAGGTGTAAGTGTGTGGCTGGTGGCATATAGGTTGTATCTGTTCTCCTTCCTTCCATGAAAAAGGCTTTCCTTTTTTCCATTCCCTTTTTCTTTTCCTTTTTTTTTTTCTTTTTTTATTGCTATCTTGCTTTGGAATTCTGCCCTCATTAGGCATAGGATGCCAAGCCAGGGTTTGGCTGGAAAAGAGCGAGTTGTGTGGTTGTCTCACCCCCCCTCCCTGCTATGTCTGTCTTGTGAAAGGTTTTCCCAGGATCTCACTCTTCACTCTTTCTCCCTCTGTCACGCTTACATACATTTTATCTCTCTTATGCATGCTCAAACACAGACGCGTGCTGAGACTAGACCAGCTTTACGTATCTAAATACTAACACTGAGAAGCTGATCAGATCTCTGTGTGGAAGGAGCAGAGAAAGCAGTTAAGCAGTGTGTACAAGACGGACAGTAGTCAAAGACATGAGTTAAGCTGATTCAGATTAGACAGAGGCCACCATAGCAAAGTGTTCCTGACAATGAAAGTGATATGACTGTATTTGTATTGTCCTTGTATTTTGAATTTCCACAATAAACACATTGCAAATGGGTAAATATTGGAACGTCCAAGATTTATGAAGTAATAATGTGCACAGAGAGCCCTGCTGCAATTACATGCTTCTGCGGTGGTATCTGCGGGTGTCTTAACTAGGCCCGTTTCGCACTAAATGCACATAATGTCTTTCTTCAAATCACCGCCTGCATTCGTCAGTACCTTTGTGCTCACCAGCTGCAGTGTTGCTCTTGCGAAATGTATGAAATTTATGCATGTGTGGGTTGTTTATTCAAGAAAAATATTTTGATGAATCGTTTATAATAGCCTCATTTTACATGCATCAACATTCACAATGTAATCCGTGTAAAATATTCATAAACTACACCTACATCTGTAGATGTAACTGTGTAACTAAATGTGTAACATGATTGTGGTTTGTTTCAAGGATGGGTTTTTTACACCTATTAAGAACAGTATTGTCACTATTGTTCAAGGTTAATTGGTGTTAAAGGGGAATACCACTGGGGGTTTGTGTACGTGTGTATGTGTTTATTTCTGCTTAATTATATTGTTGAGATACAAACAGTAATTTGTAGCGGATATATGTGCACATAGAAACTTCATGGACATGCACAGATATGGGAATTCTGGGCTGATGCTGATATCCAATGTTTTTTTCATTTACATATCTGCCAATGCTGATAAATAAACCAATATAAAGTGTTGATATGGTACCATATGGATGAATCTGAAACAAGCTTCTTTTTGGGGACTTTTTTTGCCTTACAGCACCCTGCATGTAGCTCTCCACTTTAACAGTATCAAGTCAAAACTTGATCTCAAAGTATCGTATAACAGTGTCTCAGGCATCGGGCGACATATTTGTAACCATTTTATGTAATAGCTTTCTGTGAGGGAGTTTTTATAGACCTTAAATGCTTTAGATGTCTGGTTCCTATCACCACTGCTGTGAACAATTCTGACTATGTTTCTCTAGAATGGAGCCTTTCACATCAAACCACTCTGAATGACTTTGTTTACATATTAAACATGTAATTATGTTATTAAAAATGTTGGAATTTTAGTACATGTAAAAAATGTACAAATAAAATGGTGTACTTTTTTTGTCAGAGTTTGTTCTGACAGCACGTGCAGTCAGAGAGACAGTGCAATTGTAGACTGTTTTTTGTTTTGATTAACGACAAATGACAGGTGTGACGAACATGACCATGTAGGGATAAACAAAAATAGGCAGCTCACACAATACTGCATACAATAATGTATAACACAGCACTAAACACATTACACAACAGTACATTCCGTCAACATCAGTATTGCAGTGTGCGACAAGGTTACAGTAGTTCTACTATAGCAGCTCTAGAAAAAGTTAGGTAAGCTACTTGTTGCAGTTTGTGCATGTCTGATTATGATGATCATGTATGTTATGGGTTTGTGTGTTTCCCAGCAACAACTGGAGGAGGAAGCAGCTAAGCCCGTGGAGCCGGAAAAGCCAGTATCTCCGCCCCCTGTAGAACACAAGCACCGGAGCATCGTTCAGATCATCTATGATGAGAACCGGGTATGGTGTCACCAGGAAGAGAGAGACACACACGCATACACACACACTCAACTCTTACACAGTAACCGTTTTGCGAGAACCATCCTAAACTCTGACCTTGTTTTCGCTGTTGCCTTTTATGCCTTTTTTTATACATTGGTAACGTTCTCGGAAAGTACCAGACCACAAGTTGATTTGCTCTAGGTGTGACTTGGTCACAGCTTCACCGCACTTGAAAACCTCTTCCCCATTCGATAGCACTCTAGACCACTGAGCTGAGTGAAAGGGCAAGTCAAAGAGACACATTTGGTCTCTGAACTCTAAACTGCTTCTTTGCTTACGCACTTGAGCTACGAGACTCATGTACCTGACAAGTAATGGAAGCTTATGCGTGTCCAGTTAGCGTTGTGCAAATTGCATTCATAAATCGTCACACATTTGCCTCTGACCACATTAAGTTGTTAAATAATCTTAGACACAGTTCATGTGGTTTATCTATGACCTACTGTCGTGTGTAAAAATGGACAAACGGTTGCTTCATGGTACGTCTACTACTGTTTTAACTAGGGATGCACCAATACAGCTTTTTTCTTTCCGATACCGGATCGTTAAATATTTGCTGATACCGAGTAATGATACCAATGCTAACTAACTAACCTAACAAGCCTATAAATTGGGATATTTTTAAAATTCCACTTTTTACTGAAATAAATCATTTAAAAAAAACTGTTCTATATCACAGATAAAACCATATTTAATAATAAAAACAATATTTAACAACAAAGGTACATCTCAGATATTTGTGCGAAATGATTAAAAACATTTATATATGCAGATAAACCTATGGTTTGAACGTTTAAGCACGCGCAGTAGTTTCTCTGGTTTGGCAAAAATGGTACTAAATGTTGGTTCATGTCCAAATACATCACTTTGCTGCCATGCCATTTCTAAAACATTCATTTATTCATCATCTTAGCTGGATGCTAAGAACCTATCCCAGCATTCATTGAGCGGAAGGCAGGAAACACCTTGGACAGGTTGCCAGTCCATCGCAGGGCAGACATACAGACATATAGGTGTATGTTCATACCTAGGGGCAATTTAGTGTCTCCAGTTGAAAGGACCCTGGTCACTGTGAGGCATCAGCGCTACCCACTGTACCACCATGCTGCCTATGTTTGAAACAAGCTTGAATCTGAACAAATTTAAATAAAACGTGGTCCAACTACATATTAATGAAATTGTGTTCATATATGAGGGTTGAAACTAAACGCATAACATCTAAATACAATTAAATATGTTATTATTTTATTATTTTTCTATCCTGCATTCTCACCAATGTAGGCCTCTGTGTATTTCATTGTTTTATCATGATATGCTGTTGCATTTGTTGATGGAAATAACAATGTTCAGTAAAAGTGGGCTATAAGCTTAGCACTCTCTTCACTTCGCAGAAAATTTGATGGGTCACGGAACAAACACTACCTCTACATTTTGGTTCTGGTGTGAAAAAAGATTAGAGAACCCCTGGAATAGATAACCGTGTCCTACAATGAGCAAGCCTATTTAAGACATAGTTTGAGGCAAGTATGATTTAGGCATGCAGTTTCCATGCTAATTATGTTATGTTACTTGCATTACCCCAGTTTAGTGCAAAGCTAAAGAAGCAACCTTCAGATGTCAATGTTTGAGATAAAAGGAAAAGTACAATTCAGACTATTCTTTTAAGTCTGTCTGGGTCAACATCACAATCCAGATGTCCCTCACGCATTGTAAACTTGTTTATGCTTCACCGATGTGCTCTGCAGTTAGTTCCCTGTGGAGTTCTGTGTGAATGGTGTGTGTTTTTCTTTGCACTCCATATGTTGTATATATGTAAAAGTAGTGACAGTTGGAGGGACGCTGACTTCCTGTATGTATTTGTGTTTGTGTGAGGAAGATGGACGTCCCTTGCAGCTTCACAAATTTGCTGAGACTTGTGAGGAATCTCTGGGGGATATACAGTTGTATCCAAACGTTTTGGCACCCCGGTCAAATTGCATGTTTTGTTGAAGTTGTTGAAAGAGAACACACTTCTGCACATTTTAATGCTTAATTCCTGTTTATTTGCTGAATTTAACGTTTAAAACCTAAACGGTGGCCTCTGCAAAACATTTTATATTTTATGTTATTTTCTAATGTGTTAATCTAGTAAATACAAAGAAATTGTGCACTAAAACTTGCAGAGAAAGGCCATATTCTTATTATATTACATTTAAGTGTGTTATCCGTTATTGTAGTGACACACTACTATTACGCTATTGCATTGTCATTGCAGCCCTAGTTTGGCCTGACTGACTTGATTAATCATTAACATTATCAGTGGATTATAGTGTTGTAATGATATATTTTCAGGTTCTAAACCTTATTTATGATTCTGAGGACAAGATTTTATGTGCCTTTCTATTTTTAAGTGTTAAATGTCTTTTTTACAGAGCTCTAATTTCATTTACTACACAGACTGAATTAGTTTAAAGATGAAAAATTATTGAAAAGCTGGGTATTAGTATCATTTAGTGAAATAGTGATCTTACAAAAGAGTGCAGCTAAGCTGTACAATAGAAAATAGGGAAATCCTCGAAAAAGCAAGAGTTTTTAAACAGTTACATTTCCGTGCACATTTATTTTTTTGTTTTGTAACTTTTTGGTACTGTGTTGAAATCCTTACGCCTTTAGTGGCATACTCGATAACTAACATAATCGATAGTGACAGTCATACTCGACTCCACACGGACGGTAAACGGAGCTCTTCTCTAAGTGGGACCATCCTACAGGGGATTTCCCCTAACAAGAGCAGAGGTTGAAGGCAGTGGGGGGGAAAAATACTGAAATTTAGCATGTGTTGCAGAAGGGAGGAAGTGGGAGAAGGAGGGTGTGTAGTGGGTGTTTGAGGGGGATTGTTTTCCTGCGCATGTAGGGTTACTATAGTTCATCTGTTCATCTGGTGTGGCCTCAAAACGAGTCTGAGACACAGCCTCCTGCTTTACTTACTGTAGGAAATGCATGAAGCTCAGCATGTAGCCATAATTAAAGTAAAGGTTCAGCCAGACATACGCAGAACATGTTTGATTTCTAAAGTTTGTTTCTTTGGTTTTGTGCTGGTTCTGAAGCTATGAGACTAATGTAGCTGACATGTAATCTTGCAGCCGAACACCAGTTTAAGGTAGTGTTAACTGCATGCCTAAAGGCCATTATACACAGTGCGAGTCAAGTGGTCTTTGTCGTTCTTCAATGTAACGAGTATAAACTGGAACAAAATGTCATTCTTCAAGCCCCATGGTGCAACAGCAACACATTACACAAGACTATGTAGAGTTCAGATAGATGATACTGAGAAACAAGTGTGAAGTATACAATAAAAAAAACAGACAATAAATATACAGAACAATAAATACACAAAACAATGAATACTAGATAGGACAACAAAACAGTGTATACGAATGGGCATCATACATATGTATATACGAACATGCACATGTACACAAGGATTGGCCAGTCTATGCTGGATGTTGGGAAGGCTCTAGATTTGTCCAGGTGGATGTTTGGGGGTAACAGTGGACTCTGGAGGTGGTGGAACAAATGCTGTGACACCTTCTGCCAGGTGGCAGGAGGGTGAAGGGTCCAGGAGAGGGTTGGAAATAGTTGTTCCATTTTGGAAAAGCAAAAGGAGGATGGAAAATTTCACCGCCTCATTCAGGAGCTGAAAATTGGAGTGGTTTTGCACACGGCTCAGATGTCCATAAATCTGTTTGAGCTTAGAACTTAGAGACACAAGCACCACACATGACAAAGCAGTGGACAAACCTATCCTTTTGACATTTGTCAGCCAAGTAATTGCCTTAGTTGGTACCATGCCAATGCTGCACAGCAGTGATTGGTCGAATGAGTTGACATCACTTGCGAAAGTTTGCATATATTAAACGGCGAATAACATATTACATTTTCGTCGAGTGAAATATCTTGTTTGCTGTGCAAGGTATCATCAGTTACACACATGTTCTTTCTACTTTATTAACATTTTATAACATGTTAGCTGTGTTTCTTCATGTGGGATGGTGGGTTGTTTGAGTAGTTTGAGAATGATATTTTTAGATGTTCATGCTAGATGAAGTTCGTTGATTAAAAATAGTTTATTTAAAAAAATTAAGTCAGATCAGTATTGGTATGAACTAAAACTCAAGGTTTCAATATCATTATTAGTATTAAAAGAAGAAAAAGTGGTATTGTGCCATCTTTAATGAAATTATGTTGAATAGCTGAAAGTAGTATTGACAACAGTCTAGGAGTCTGTATTTTGTTCATTTTTCTGAACAGAATGTGGCGACTAAGCTTCCTTTACTTATTACATTAGCCTTGTAGGTTCTGTGCCAGACTAACGAAGCAAACTTCACACACCAAGCATGTCTTGGCTGATGAACTGCATTTGGAGAAAGTGGGGAAAAAAAAAATGTGTAAATTAGATTTTTTGGTCGAACCATTACGTTAACTTCGTTTTACGGCTGCGCTTAGGTTACATGCCTAAGTCTTTGGCCCTGCTGTACAGTTTGCGCTAGATTGATTGCAGGGTCAGAGATACATAATTCCTTGCCTTATAGGCTGCGGTAGCCGTTGTATCCTGCCCATGTTTCACGTGGCTGAAAGACGTTTTTATTTCCGAGTTTCTCCCTCCCTCCGTTTCTGTGTCTCTTTCTATTTAAACAGCTGCTGCTGCTCGCTGTGCAATGCATCATTCGCACCGAAGAGCAGTCTACACTGTTACTGTAATAATATTCACACTCACTCACACATACATACACATTCTACTTTTCATTACTGCCCTGGCAGACAGAGCATATTTTGTTATATAGGCGCGCACACACACACACAAACCGCACGCATTCATTTTTCCTCCGCTCACACTCACTCAATCGGGTCTGAGTTTTGAGAGTCCTATGGCGAAAGTGAGCATGTGTGTGCATTGAGAAGTCCTCTGGCTCTCTCTGTGATTCATTAATTTTCCCTATAGGAAGGCGGGCTCTCGTCTAGAGGCTAGTTAGGTAAAGAGCGCGAGAGGTGGACAGACAAAATGGGCAGTAGGGCCTTAATGATGTTGTTTAGGTTGTTAAGATTCCACTGATTTATTTTCATAATTTTGTATAGTGAAATAGCAATTTTGTGTTCATAATATTATGTAGAGTTTTGTGATATTTTCGGTATGAATTGTCAGACAAAGAATAATGTCGGTCTACTCTGTTGAGAGATTTTTGCCTTTTTGCTGCTTCCTTTCATTTGGATGGCACTAAATTTTGTGTAGGTGACGTCAGATCTGCCAAATTAGCAATATACATATGTCAGCTACTTGCATTCCTCTCCCTCACATAAAGTAACTGCTCTCCTGCTGTTCCAACTTCCTGACAAAACTCCCAGCATGTAGGTTATTTAAGCTTTTCTAAATTTAACAGTGCTTGTGATGAAGGTCTATTGCACCATTGTTTGTGGCGTAGCTAGACGCTGCTTCCTACTTGTGCTAGCCACCTGTTGCAGTATTAACTTCATTAATGAGAGTGATAGCTAGTGGTCTACTTTAACGGTAGTAATAAAATAATACGTTAGCTTAGTGTTACATTAGCTACCCTCTCTAAAATCATGGCTCACTGTGTTTCTCCACAATTGTGCACACAAAAAATGCACATAAGAAATTTCTCCACAGTGTCCACAAACACGATTCACAGGGGGAGCCTGTGTGACATCAGTTTCAGAAGCGTGGTCCAGCAGTTAGCTAGCTAGCTACCTATAAGCTAACTGCTCAATACTGTTAAAACAGTTCGTAGTCATGTTGACAGGGGCAATGGGTAATGAATGGATGAGAGGAAGACCACGAAAAGAAAGGGCTTTGGCTGAAATCAACACAGGGTCGTATGCTTCCCTTTTAGATTATATAGCTGGTGTTAAAAATAGGGATGCATGATAAGAATCAGCCAAAATCAGATTCAGAGATTTTTGCTCTGATTGGAAATGGGTTAGAAATTCATAATTGGTGTGTCTCTAATTATGAGGTGAAAATTAGCAGAACAAAAAATACATTCGAAAACTGGTTTTGTTATTCAGACATAGCTGATGGTAATGTGTAGGTTATTGATTTGGGTGAGTAAAGGAGGCTGCCTCTTCAGATGAGCTTATGAGCTAAACTACAGCTAACAGCTACACCGCCAGCTGCTAATTAGGACTCGTCTTGTAAATGTGGTCTTTTCTCCTCAGTGAGTGATGTGCCAACATGTTAGTTATCAGAGAAATACACTTCCTCTGTTTTTGGACCTTGCCAACATCACGTGGCCTGGTTAGTGATAAAGCTGGGCTGCCTCTAACTCAGTCATGTCCTTGGCAATGCACCTACATTAAGGCACTTATGTTTTGCAGTAGCAACGTGTGTTATATATATAGTACAGTATATACATACATAGTCACTTGTAAGTACAAGCAAAGCGGTCACTTTTTACAGTCCTGTCAAAACATATTGCTGTTTTGCTGATTTGTTGGCCTGTGTACTTCATCATGCTTCCCCCTGATGGAATATAACGAGTACCTGAATAGGGATTTCAGTATTCGAATGTTGACGCCTCGAGTGGTTAACTAAGCACCATGCACATCCCTATTGGATGTTTGTTTGTTAGTTCATGTGCAACCATTGTCATAGTTTTTCAGACATTCAATAGAACTCTGTTCCTGAACGTAAAGGGGATAATGAGGAATGAAAGGAACATGTTTGGCATGCGCAGGATTGGAAACGGTTTTTGTAGATTCTGGCAGAGTACATGAACCCGTATAAACGCACACTCATCACTGCAGCCGAACAAAAAATACAGGAACACTCTGAATGTATTTCTCTAAATGGTGCAAAATTTATATGTATTTTTTGAAGTATTTTAAAATATCTTTTTTCTCTCCCTCTCCCTCTTTAGAAAAAAGCGGAAGAGGCCCATAAGATCTTTGAAGGACTCGGCCCTAAAGTGGAGCTGGTGAGTCTGCTATTCAGATAAATTTTACCATGTGTGCAGTTTTTCTGTTACAGACATGCTAAAACCAGACAAAATGTCTGTCTTGCAGCTAATGATTAACTATTTCTGTGTCTCTTTGTCTTTCTCCAGCCTCTCTATAACCAGCCATCGGATACTAAAGTATATCATGACAACATTAAGACGTAAGGGTTTTTTTTTTCCTTTCTAATTTTCATCAACATGAGCAGTGTTTCTTGGCCTAAGACCAAGCAAGGATGAAAATGTTGAATTAGAAACTATTTCAGCCTTTCAGAAGAAACAAGGCCACAAAGACCCTGCTTTTTGTTAGTTCTGTGAAGTAGTGACAGACTACAATGTTGGTTTCTTTTTTGTAAATCGTCGCGAGTGATACCGTCCAATGAGTCTGCCTTTATTTCCAAAATGGTCAGATAATACAATCAACCTCTGCATTCATGCTTCTCAGCCAGGTGTGTTAATTGTGTAACACTGAAGAATCTCTAAATTTATCTCTTACTTCATCTACTTCATCTGCTTCATCTACCTTGCTGTTTCGGTGCAAAATAAAATGAATGGCATGTTGCTTTGATTTGGCATTGTGAACTATAAGAAGAGGCAGACTAAGCTAGAACAACTGTTTTGAACTCAGACTTAAACTTCAGCCTGCAAGGCGCTCACAGATGCCATAGAGAAAAGGGCGTATGGAAATTTTTGGTTTCATAATTTGTTTTTGTTGGAAAAATTATGAGTATTTGATCATTTTGATAAAATGTAATTTAATTAGAAATGCTTTTCATTTACTATCTTTTTCTACACTAATGAAACTGAGTACCAGCTTTAAAATGAAATTTTATAAAATATTTATATTATCCGTTTTCGAACATCTCATACTTACTGTTATCGCATGATGTCCTGTGGTTACTGATTTGGCTTTGCTTAACGTTTGGCAGTGCATCTTTTTTTCTCCTGATATCAGCACAATACTGATACCCAGTATCGGTTTGGTGACTCTCTAAATATAACTAAAACTAAAAGTTTTGTTTTTTGAACCATGATAAAGGCAAAAAAAAATTGCAACCCGATGATGATAAAGTAAAAAGGCAAATCAAACGTCGTTTTATATCCCTCCGTCCTGGCCTGTGCTCCAGTGGTTGTTATAGATCATAATATGATAACAAGTGAGACGTGTGAATAGAAGCGTCAGTCAGAATGTAAACTGATTTGAGTTTAAGGTGCTCTTTATAACCAAAAGACATTAAGAGGCCATAAAATCAGTTGAAATTATTATCTGCACAGGTCAGTGACATTTATCTCAGTGACATTTACCTGAGTGGCTGATGTTGCTTCGAATGTGTAACAGTGATTAAGGCAATTGGAATCAATAAATATCCTGTTTGTATTTTGTAGTGGTCCATTGTGTATTTGGGGGCGGGGGTGGGGGTGGGGGTTCCTAAAATGGTTACATATAGTAACATGGGTAAATTCCCACAGATGAACTACTTTTAAATGAAGTGGACCAGGATGGGAATTTGGATAGCCACTCTGTGTTCTCAGTGAACTTGCTGACCTTCTGCTTGGAGGGAGGGGTTAATGTTTGTGGGCGACTAGATAACAGAATGGATGTGAGTGTGTGTTACTGTATGGTTGTAAACAGGCTGGTTGAGTTTTTATAGAGGAAGGAGGGCACTGTATGTGTGTTTTTGTCTACACAGCGAGGTGAAGGTCAGGTTGTCTGGGCTCTTATCAGTTCCATGAGTAAGCAGTATGTCAGTCAGGTTAGACTTTTATCTCTGTGCCCTGTTCTCATACACAAAGCAGAATGCCCTTGGGGGTGTGTTTGTGTGCGTTACAGAAGGGGATTTCAGTGGCGTCTTACTATTGTCACAAATTTTACATTGGTAAGCAAGTATTTTTTTGTAGTAGTTGGTAATTTTTTGTGTATACTGATGGGGGGTGGACAAAAAATTTGCATTGGCCACTTGGACCCCCAAGCTAATGAATCTTCTCGTCAGAATTAAGAATTTATGGCCAGAATAGTGTAAACATGTTTATCGTATATACACAAACTCACAGAGTGGGGTTACTGGGTGCTGCAGTGCATAGCACGTAAAAATTGCCTGTGCTCTGTTGCTTTGCTCACTACAGACTTCTAAACTGAATCTGGAAGCAACATCAGCACAAGAACTGTGTTTCAGGGGCTTCATGAAGTGGGTTTTCGCTTGACTGATCTGATAGCCTGATAGATGAATTTGGGTTTGGCAGATGCTGGAAAACATAATGCCAAAAATAAAGTCTGGTGGAGGAGGGATAATGGTCTAGAACTGTTTTTCACACTTTGGGCTTTTCCCGTTGGTTCCAGTGAAGGGTAATGTTAACGCTATAGCATACAAAGACACTTTAGACAGTTACATGCTTTCAGCTTTGTGGCATCAGTTTGGGGAAGACACTTTCCTGTTTCAGTATGACTGTGTTCACTGTGGACAAAGCAAGGTCCAGAGTGAGAACTTGGTTTCCCATCATTTGGTGTGGAGGAACTCCACTGGCCTAAACAGAGCCCTGACCTCAACTCCACTGAATAGCTTTGGGGTGAATTGTAATGTCACTTGTGAGCCAGGCCTTCTCATCCAACTTACTTACAATAGGTGTGATGATACAGTGTTTACATACTTTTGACAATATAATATATGTATTTACAATTAACATGCATGTGCCAGGACCAAAAAACTGTCCGGGGTTTCTATGAAAAAGGAAAAAATTTGTAGAAACTTACATTAATAAGAACCGTGGTGGTCCCTCCTGCCAAGCTGACCCACCCTGACATCATCCGATCTATGCTATTTCATTAGGTACTGTTTAGCTACTGTAGTGACAGATTGTCAATATAACACCAGCTTATTTAGCACTTTATTCTGTGATTTTATACAGTGATATTAGCAAACCTTAAGCCAGTAGAACAGCATCTATGACGTTAGGCGGACCAGCTCAGCATGGGGGGACCTCTGTGGTTCCCCTTGTCATATTAGCAATAACAATGACCGTGTTTACACCTGTCAAAATCGATGGAACTAAAGAAAAAGTTAGCTACTTCAACACGGGCCACATTTGTACACCTATAACTTTGTTATTTTAAGAGGGAGAGAATTAATTGGACCAAATGTTATAGTTGGCAAAAGCATGAGGTGCCTTTGATATGTTGACACATGAACATGTTATTTTGTTTGTCATTTTCTGTTTCTGTGGTAACAGGGCGGTGTTCCTTTTCTTTTATACAGTATGAGCATTGTTTCAGTTTACTACAAATGCATGAATTAGTGCGTGTGACTGTTGTTTTTTTTTTTTCTTGTTTTCTCTGCAGAAATCAAGTAATGAGGAAGAAGTTGATTCTGTTCTTCAAGCGGAGGAACCACGCACGCAAACAGAGGGTAAGTGAGTGCATGCGTGGGTGTGTGTTCCCCTTACAAAGGGAACTTCCAGGAACATACTTTTAAAAAGCAAGCAGACAAGCGATGCGCATGAACGCCTCTCTTCAAAAGTGCATCATAGTCACAGGCTTAATATACTTACGGGGCTCTTCTGGAGAGCCCTTACTTAATATTGTTCCCGTGGCTTGGAAAATCCAGACCCTAGGAAGTTCTGTTCGAGGTGTGTTTAAGGAGTGTGAGTGAATTATATTCCAGGATGGGCACTGTGCGACTCCAGTGACGCAGTGGGTTTTTATCTGACTGCTGCCGTTGCCTAACAGCCAGGACAGAAGCGCCAACTCAGTAACGTAAAAGGGCCATATACTGTGCTTTTCTTGTTTTCTTGGGTTTTATTTACTTATTTACTTATCGTATCAAAAAGTTATTATACATTTTGGCTGTATGGTTACTGTACCTTTAAGACTTAATGGGCCCATTTACTACATTTTTCTCCCCCCTAACAGTCCACTTGTGTGGCTGTACCAAATGTACCAAAAATGACCATAATTAGTTTTTCCATGACCATTTTCCAACTGCTCCTTATCAAACAGGCTGTTGTTTTTTTTGTGTTTTTAAGACTGATGTGAGTTTATTGACCCCTGTTCTGATTGGCTGTCTTGCATGGTGCTTCATTCATTAACACTCTTTATTATTTAACTTCATTGTTAATGGGCGGAGCTAAACTGCCCTGGGCTGAACAGGTGAATGTATGTAAATGAAGTTGTTCTCATGACATCACAGAAACTATGAATTCAAAACAGGCTGTTTGCTGCTTCTTAACTGCAAAATTTTTATTTTTTTTTATCTTTTCATGATGTGGGCCTTTTTAATATATTCTCACTGTACAACAGAACATGTAACTCCAAAATGCTAACAGAAGAAGAAAGTAAGTTAATATAAAAAGATAAAGATTTTATTCCAGCTGATTTCAGATAATTTCTATTGGCCATGTCGTTTTCACACAGTGTAGATAAAAGCTGCTGTGTTCAAATGATGTAGAAGAATAAAAATAAAAAAGAGAGATTATTGTTATTTTTTGTGGGGGGCAATGATATTATGTAAATAGGTTCTGACTGCCTGCCTATTTTGTGCCTCATTTAAAAAGCAGTCGATGTTGAAACATTTCTTATAACTTTACTGAGAATAGGAGGAACTAAACTGCTGTAGAGGTAGGTATATGTAAATGTGTTGGTCTTTCAGGCATGACAAAAACAACAAATTCAAAATGGGCTGTTTGCTCAGATTCATTTCCATATATGGACTGGAAAATTAATAATACATTTTGAAACTTGAACAGTGCTTACATGCTAGATCTTGAACACTTGAACAGTGTTTACATGATAGTTTATTACAAAAAAGCAAGCTAAATTCATTTTTCTATGCTATTGGCCCTTAAAAGTTCATGGCACTGTGTGCTTTGATTTTCCTCCTCCCTCCCTCCTCTTGCTTGGCCTGCAGAGTAGTCAAGTACAGTGGATGCTTTCCTCTGTGCTATAAAGCCTGATCTAAATATACCTCTTAGACCACATGTGGAAGTCATTTGGCTGTAGTGGGGGTGTGTATGTGTATGTAAGGTAGTGCTAGTTGCTCTGTAGTATGTTGTGCTGGTCAGACATTTTGGACCATGAACAATAGGGGTGGGTGAATATGGAAGGAGGCCAAGTAGAAGGTGAACTGCTTGGAGAGTGAGCGTGAAATACAAGGCTCTATTGTCATCTTTGTACTGTAGTGTTTGCAGGCGGACACATACACGTACTTGTTTATTCCCTGTCCCACTTCCTTTCTTCTTTTAAATGTCTTTGACTGGCTCGCTGTTGTGCTGGCACACTACCAAGCATATCAGTTGCAGCCTATTTTAGTCTGTTTATTCTTTGCAGAGAATAACTGGCACTATTGTAATGAATGTTAGACACATCGGTGCCTGAAGGTGATAATTTGGGTCAAATAATTAATACACCCTGCAACCAAAGAAAAAGACATTGTAGAGATGGGCAGTGTGGCAAAAATGTTAAATCACAGTACTTTTTCACGATACACAGTACGCCAAGATATTTATTTTTTTTATTTGATATATTGGAACTGACAAAGTAATGCCATGTTTAAAAAAAAATCCATCGAAAGTATGAAGATTAATTTATATTCAACATTTTACACCATGTGCTACACTAAATCCAATTAAACAGGACTAATTATGGTCTCTCTGTTATCAAGCATGCAGATGGAAAGTATAAGTACTGACGATGCCCACGATATGACAGAAAAAACATATTGTGATGTTTTGTCACAATAACGATACATAGAATGAATTATTTAAACTGAAACACCCACTCAAAACTTTATTAAAAACATCTAGCTTGTGTCTGCGCTCATTGTCCGTTTTATCAGGTCTGCTTAACATATAGGTGCACTTTGTAGTTCTACATTTACAGATTGTAGTCTGATTGAGTAATCTGATTAACCTGTAGCTTCCTCAGCAATAGCAATTGTTTACATGGTAATGTAATTACCAACCCTGATAATCGACACAACTGTGTGCTGTGTTATTTTTATTGAGTGTCGCGCCAGTCATTTAATGTAGGTGTGTATGTTTGGGCTGTGACATATCTGTCCAGGCTGTCTGTAGGAATTTGGGAGAAGTCACACACATACTTTATCTAGTATGAACTGACAAATGAACAGTCAAATCCCAACAAATTACATTACTCAGCTTCTTCTGGAATAGTGCTTTTGGTTGTCAGATGATATGTGGTGGGTAATGCCATTATTTACTGTTCGCTATAACTTGTGTATTTATTTGGAATGAAATTGCATTTTCTGTTTTTTGTCATCTCAGGAGCAGAAGATCTGTCAGCGCTACGACCAGCTGATGGAAGCATGGGAGAAAAAAGTGGAGCGGATGGAGAACAACCCACGGCGCAAAGCCAAGGAGAGCCGCACTCGCGAGTACTATGAGAGGCAGTTCCCCGAGATCCGCAAACAACGCGAGCAACAGGAACGCTTCCAAAGGTCAGTCTCATTACTCTTGTTCAGAGTTTTCTGCATTACCTGAGCTGTTCTGAGAAATACAAAAATAGGCCAAGAACCTTGTTTTGTGGACATGGAGTCTGATTGGAGCTCCCACAGACACACATCGGTCATCATTTGCTGTGATGTAACTCACTGTGTACACAGTCTGGGTGCCAAAAAAAGGGAAAACGAGTAGGCTGGCCAGAAGCTCACCAATCAGAAGTGAGGGGCCTGCTGGAGGTGAGGTCAGAGGTCCCGCCAGGGTGGTTCTTAGTACAGAGGCAGTAGGGCTTCCCTGAACTGAGCACAGCAGACGACAACACCACATCAGACCTGGCAGAGCGGCTCTTTTTTTCCCGTAACTAGACAGACATTAACAGTTTGACCAAGGTTGTTTATTAATTGAATACAGTTGAATACAACGGTAATCATTTATATGCAGCTGTCAGTCTAATCTGGGACTTATGCTGAGTTTGGCTTCCTATCCTGAAACACACTGTAGTGGCCCAGGCAGTCATTCTTATCACTCACTTTTAGATGTGCATTTCTTTGCTACTTTCCTTAATAGCCTTTTCATTTTTCTTTACCTGCCCATTCATTAAACAAAGACGTTTAAGACTTTTGTTTGTTTATTTTTTTTGTGTGTTTTGAACTAGACCTCTGATATATCGGTTCCTTCTTCCTGCCTCTGGGCTTGTTTTTTTTTGTTTTTCTCTCTGCCATTAAGGCCTCAGCCTAGCAGGCTGTATTTCCGGCCATTCATGCACTGACTCCTATCCTGCAGGTACTGTCATTTACCTGTGTGCTGTTGTACAGAGGAGCCAGCGCATGCTACCGCAGCATTTTCTCAGAACTCCGGAGTGTCTTGAGCAGCCTGACACATCCGGAATGGTCCTAGAGGAAGTTGGGAAATAGCTGGCTGCTTGCTGTGCTGCTCCGCGATGGCCTCTTCAAAGGCTGTTTTTTGGAACCAGAATGCATCAGTGGAAGTTTAGTTCTGGTTCTTGTTATAGAGGCAAAGGTGAAGTAAAGACAGAAAGAGAATGAATGATTGAAGAGGCTATTGTGTGGAAAGCCACAGAAAGACCAGTTTGTCGCTCACTGTGTTTTGAAGCTTTTTGAAAAACAAAAAACTGAGAGCTCTTCAGGAAAGACCACTTTTTTGCCTTTTAATGCCTTTCTTGGTCTCTTTCCTGTTTCTGGGTATTTGTTTTTGTCTCCATCTCTCCACCTGTGACCCACTCCTTCTAACTCCTTCACCTCTCTCCTTGTCTCTCAGAGTGGGCCAGAGAGGGACGGGGCTGTCGGCCACCATAGCAAGGAGCGAGCATGAGATTTCAGAGATCATAGATGGCCTCTCGGAACAGGAGGTAAGTGCCTGATAGACCCACTCTTATATATCTCAAAATTGCTGGTGCTGCTTCTCATCCTCTTTTTTCAGACCATAACTGGAAGAGTCCTCTGTTCTCAGAGTGCACTGCAGTCTGTTCAGCCTGCCTTAACCCTGCAAGATTATCTGCCAGTTTCAGTGAATCCTATAGAGGTGTAAAAATGCACTGATTCTTTGTGATGCATCCTTCTGAAGGTGGTGATTGAACTGCATCAATTTTGGAATGTTTTTTGTTTTCCTTTTTTGTCAAAATAAAATTATTGGGCTATTTTGAAACATAAAATCTAAGTAGATAGACAGACAGACAGACAGATCGATTGATCGATCTTGGGTTATTGTTTTAACCGTCTTTATTCCTTTTTACATTAATTCCTCCAGTCATTCAGTGCAAAAAATCTAATCAGACCCTGTTGAAGTTTTAGATTTCATGACACGTTGGATTATTTCCTAAATAATCATAATCAAATTATTGTGGGTTCAAACATTTACACCCCCGCAGTCCCGACATGCCTTGAACTAGAACAAAGCCACACGTTCTGATTGTTGCTGGGAACTGTGTGGGAAGACTTATTTTATTTATATATTTATTTATTTATTTTTATCTCGCTCTCTCCTGTTTTTTCTCCATCCACCCATCAGAATAACGAGAAGCAGATGAGGCAGCTGTCTGTCATTCCTCCCATGATGTATGACTCTGAGCAGCGGCGCGTGAAGTTCATCAATATGAACGGGCTTATGGATGACCCCATGAAGGTCTACAAGTCCCGCCAATTCATGAACGTGTGGACCGAGCACGAGAAGGAGATCTTTAAGGATAAGTGAGTATCTGTGACCAGGGTGGTCATACAAGCATTTCACTATGTGATATATGTCTATACTGGCATATTGTGGTATTGATATACTGTGATATTGCTTTTTAGTTTTCATGATATTTTTACTTTGATATTTATTTGATATATAATGAGCATTATATCCATGATGCCCTTGAAATAGTAATGTTTCTGTTGCAGTGGGGTGGTTTTAGTTTAGTTCTATTTTGTGCGCTTTGCTCATAATATACAGTATCTGACATTCAGTATCTGAGATTGTTTTGAAAGAACAGTTCAAAATACTAAAAATTAAATAAAAAGTAGTGAGTTTCTTTCTGGAAATGTGATTTTTCTGTTTGATTAACGTTTTTTTTTCAGTATTATATAATGTTCCTTTTGGTGACATATTAAAGGGGAATGCCGCTGATTTTTTCCAAATTTCTGCATAATTAAAGTGTTATATAAACAAAGTCATTCAGAGTGGTTTGGTGTGAATTGCTCCTATCAGGAGGAGCTTACCGAGTCAGACTAGTTCACGGGGCAATGATAGGAACCAGACATCTGAAGTCTTTAATGCCTCTAAAACAACTTCACAGAAAGTTATTACATGAAATGGTTATGAATACGCTGCCTAATGCCTGAGACGACATGTAAGCTTTTCACCTTAAACTTTTTTTTTCTAATCCATTCATAGTGGATTTATACATGAAGGTTGTTACCCAACCTTTTTGTTCACATTAATCACTATTTTGCCTTCAATATTAGATATAACGACTTGGAAGACGTGTATAGATTCATTGGTCGTTTTGAACACTAAATAAAATGTCCATTTTTGCGTTGTAGACATTGTGACCCTTGTTTCCGATCACTCCCACTGCAAAGAACTCCAAGTCAGCAAATTCCTCTGCATTGCATCATTTCAAATCAGACTACTGCGAATTTTTCAGAAATTCTGAAAGATCAGTGGAATTTCCCTTTTAAGAGAAAAATGGAACACAGTTGATGAATCAGAACAGTCTATGTCAGGTTTGTAAGACATTCATTTAGCATAGAATAGCAGCACTTGGGAAGCATGTGCTTATTAACTTTAGTAATGCAGACCTAATTTTTCTTTTGTTTAATCAAATTTTATCAGGATTGTCCAGCTCTAGTGTTCGTCAGCTGTAGATATGCAGAGCTGGCACAGGGGACAGGCTGTTATTTTGTTAGCTGTGTTTGAGGTCTCAGAAGTGTTTTTCTGTTTCAGTGCTTGATGTTCTGTTTTTCTTGCTGAAGTGGCTGTATGACGTTTTTACGCTGTCCTGAACTTTTAAAGGTCCACAGTCTGACTAGAACTTGGCCACCGTCCCTACCCAGTGATGTTAAGGCCAGTCGTGCACTTGCAGACTGCAGATTGCCACTGAATTCGAATATACAAACTGTACAACTGAATTACAGCAGAACAACAAAACTGGCAGATGGCTAAGCTACCTGGAAGCCCTGTTAGATGATCTTTCCAGTTGGAGATGGGCTCTCATTTTCAATATTGTATTGTAATTATCATCTTTTGGCGTCACCACCACTCCTGTGCAGACAGTTATGAACATGAAACAGTGAAGACGGTGTGGCCAGCCAGCAGCAGCCTTTGAATCCCACAACCACACGGAAGCTTCCATTCCTTGTTTCACCGCACTGCTGCTTTCTGCCCGTGTCACGTGGAAGGAGAACAACATTTCCGGCTAATAGCTCCACAGAAACCACTTTAATTTTCTTCCCACAAATCATAGCTCCTATGGGACGAAGAGCCGGTGAAGCAGTTGGGGCTCCAAAGCTAGGAAAAAGAGCGGAGAAGACTTCAGCGTAGATCATATCGGCCCTGTCGAGGGTTCTGTGGGCCTGGCGGACAGAGGACCACACGCATACATGCACTAATTGTTTTCATCTCTTGCTTGCACTTTCTGTCTGCTTTGTAGCAGATTGGTAACCTCGTCTGTGCTTTGTGTATTTAATGTCCTTTTCGATCATTAAAAAAAAACTTCTCACTCTGTTTGCTTTCCAGGTTCATGCAGCACCCGAAGAACTTTGGCCTGATCGCCTCTTATCTAGAGCGAAAGGTGAGTGCTTCCTGTCTCTGTGGGCAGGCTTCCTGTCTGTGGTTGTGCGTACTCTCACACATACACATATGCTCTGACACAGCTAATGTAGCTGCAGCCCACCAGCAGTTCTCAGTCCCGTTTTATCCCCTTTTGGGGCTTGTCTTGTAATTTATAGGATTGGCTTGTTGGGTGTTTTTTCTGTCTTAGGTTTGAACTTGTTGAACTATACTTAGATATAGGGGTGTGCGATATGGCAAAAATATAGCATGATAATACTTCAAGACTTTTTCATTTATATGTGTTGTCATAATATTTTTTTTGTATGGCATCAGACAAAAAGACCTAGATATGCCATATTTTCGAAATATTTTCTGAAACTATAAATACAGTGATTTTTATTTAGTGTTTTAAACACTGTGCTGCAGTAAATCCACTTAACAGGATTAATACTAATTATACTGAAACTGGCAGTTTGTCAGTGTACCAGAGGGGTTGACAATATCCATAATATGGCCAAAAGTATGCAGACACCCCTCCTAATGATTGAATTCAGGTATTTTAGCACAAATCCATTTTAGAGAATTATATGCTTCCAACTTTGTGGCAACAGTTTGGGAAAGGCCCTTTCCTCTTCCAGTATGATTGTGCCTACTAAGGTCCATAAAAACATGGTTTGGTGAGTTTGGTGTGAAGGAACTCTGCACAGAGTCCTGACCTCAGCCCCTCCGAACACCTTTGGGACAAATTGGAACGTCGATTGTGAGCCAGTACTTTTTGTCCAGCATCCAGTTCCTGACCTCACAAATGCTCTTTTGACTGAATGGGCACAAATTCCCATATAAACACTCCAAAAGCTTACTGAAAGCCTTCCCAGAAGAATGGAAGCTGGTATTCCCGCAAAAGGGGGCCAATTCCATATTAATGCCCATGGTTTTAGAATGGGATGTTGAAAAAGCTCATACAGGTGTGATCAGATGTCCACATGCTTTTGGCTACAAAACGTGTTGTGAAAAATTTTAGTATGTTTCTTGGTGGAGTCAATAGTTGACAAAGATCTTGCATGATGTTCAAAATGGTATCCACTCGACTGTTATGTACAACATTTGGTACTTGGTTTGCTTTTTCTTTAGCTGAAGTATCGATCGAGAACAACTTCTTCTCTCTGCATCTATTACTTCCTAGCATATAGCGCAAAAAGCTGCTAGCTTACAGTAATCGTGAAAGCGCTTCACTGATTTATACCTTTAACGTGTAAGTCAGTGAAGCCCCTCCTCACTTAAATGCTAATGTGTCCATTTTGAGTTTAATGAAATTGACTTGTGAATATTCCCTACTTCCAGACTACTTAGTAGGCCTGTCATGAATGATCAGTGTCCTAAGCAGACTGACTCACTCCCTATTGTTAAAATGTGCATGCTTAAGAGTTTTAAGGGTCTTTATGCAGTGTAGGCAGCATTATTAATACTGTTTGCTGTCCCTGCAATAACCACAAAGAACAAAATGGGCTGTTATTTCAATACTGAACTCAACAACAAATAAATTGCTGCCATAAAGAGGGACCATTGCTTTCCCACTAATCACTTAGTCTCAGATAACTGGTTATTCATAAAGATCACATCTGACTTGCTGTAACATTAGCTAGCTAGAAGACACTTTTCCCCACAGGTTGCTTTAGAGGTCTTGCTAAACCATGCTTGCCTAGTCTTGTTATTTGCATATACATCAGCTACTGAAGCTGCTCTTGTGGCGTGTGTGCTTGCCCCCTCGCTCATGCGCAGTTTCTCTCTTTTCTCTGCAGTGTGTTTCAGATTGTGTACTGTATTACTACTTGACCAAGAAGAGCCAGAACTACAAGACACTGGTTCGGCGCAACTACAGCAACCGCCGACGGAGGAACCAAGTAAGCCACAAATTTGTGTTTGCACGTGTGTCAGTGACACGTGAGTACTTGTCGCCACTGTCGATGTCTGGTTTTGGCAGGCAGATCTGTCACGCACATGCATACGCTCTGTTTCTCCGTCTCACTCACTTTTGCACCCTGTGGTGGTTTTGATGTTGTGAGATTTCCCCTCCATATGTCTGTTCGTGTGACTTCATCTCAGCCCACTCATTTCAACAGTCCGGAGTTCCAGAGTTTTTACCTTAAAGAGGATTTTTCAGAATTTCTGCGTAAGTCAGTCGCTGAGATGTAAACAGTCATTAAAGATGCTGCATTATAGAGAAACTTACAGACTCTGATTTCTTTACAGTGGTGTTGATGGGAACCTGGGAGTCGTGATGTCTACAACACAATCATAATAATAGTATAACGTCCAAAACCATCAGTGAACCTACATGAGTCTTTGTAGTTTTTATATGTAGTGTTATGATAAAATAGTGATAAATCTGAAAAATTATGCATTCTTTGGGGTTTATTTACATGTACGCCAAAAGCTTGTCAAAACTATTGTAAAATATTGTCTCAGAAATCAGGCAGTGTATTCATAACAATTTTATGTGGTCGCTTTCTGTGAAGGAAGTATTGCTTTGTTGACTCGCCAAGTTCCTCTAATGGATGATTAACATTTAATTAAGCAGAAAACTTGAAATATTGTTGGTATTCCCCTTTAAGAGTGCATGCTGTTTATATGTCTGTGTTTCCACTGTAATCTGTTGCTTAGCAGCGTTCTTTATTCTTTATACTTTATTCTCACCTGGAAGAGTAGCTGGAGTTTGTGTGCGGACAAGTAATTTTCTCATCATACCTTCTCCATAATCGTAGAGTTGATGTTCATTTGCCAAGTGTTGCACATCGTTCAACAAAGTAGGAGAAGGAGCGAATATGACAGTAATTATCTAATCAGCATGTTTATTTAAGTATGTAAAAGTTATAACACAGCACACTCTTAGAAAATTAGGATTATACATTACTGAACAGGGGTTTCTATGATTCATGACAGTAGTGAAATGCTTTTTGGTGCTATAGAACCGTTTTTAAAAGTGTTGTGTGTGTGTGTTTTTTCTGTTTTCCAGCATGGAGAAGAAGCATTTGACCATGAAAAGAACCATTTATGCATTCTGATGGGTCTTTGAGAGTTCATGGTTCTCTGTATATCCATTGTTTTTTTACTAAAGAATTTTTAAAGAACCATTTCTTTTGAAGAGTTTAAAGAGTGTAATAAGAAATCTAACAGTTTCGCTGATAAGCCACTCTTGATGTCTGTTGACAGGCTTACCAGCTATGTGTCAGATATTTCTCAATAGATGTCACAACATTTTCTACAACTAAATCGAGGAAAAAGCTGAAATACTGATCTTTGGTACTAAAATTCAGAGATAAAAGATATGAAAAGCTAGATTCTTTTAGCTTCATATACCAAACCTGAAGTAGGAAACTTGGGTGTAATCTTGGATTCTGGGCTCTCAGTCTTTTATCCTGCATGTAAATGCAGTCACTAAAGTATATTTTTATAATTTGCTAAAGTATCTGTTTATACCATACGGCTAAAGTTTGGCCTTTTCTATCCCAGAGCGACACAGAGAAACATGTTCATGCATTTGTTACAAGCAGAATTGATTACTGTAATGCTCTTTTTACCAGGCTTCCTAAGAAAATAATCCATCCTCTACAGCTCATACAAAATGCAGCTGTATGGATCCTAAACAAAGAAGAGAGCTCACATCACTCCTGTTTTGAAAAACCGCCCTGGCTACTTGTATATTTTAGGATAGATTTTTAAAGTTCTGCTACTAGTTCTTAAGTCTCTAAATGACCTAGCACCTGCTTACATCACAGATTGTCTTTTGTGTATGTTCCAGCACGTGATCTTGTACTGGCCCTCTGCATATACTTTCCAGAAAATAAAATAAATGGGGTCCTCTTTCAGTTACTGTGCTTCTAAACTGTAAAACTCAATTCTTTTATTAGACACTCAAGCTTACTTTTAAGAAACGTTATCATCTGTCTGTCAAGCACTTTGAACTGCCACCAGTATGAAAAGTGCTCTATAAGGAAAGATATTATCGTTAATATTATTATTATTATTATTATTATTATTAAAGTGGGTGGAGTCAGCGCGGGGCCTATGCTGTGGGCACACCCACTCTCAAAGTCTTATAAATTGTTGGGGTTGTGATTTTTGGGGATTTATTTTGTTAGAAAGCTTTACGCCCGGCGGAGAAAAAGCTTATTTTCGTACGCTGTATTAATCGTAAAGGTTATGTATGTCTCAAAGCCCTCTGGTGTTCAGAGCGCGCTACTGCCAGTAATACTTACTCCAGTTTTTGCACCCTCATTCACTTACACTTGCAGCAGCACTGAGCTGACTTGACTGTAGTTGATAGTAGAAGGTAGTTAATAACACGAGGGCTGTTATATCAGATTATGAGATTAAGGTGGTCCAGTCTGAGTTATCTGTAGAGCTAATAGTGATTGAATAACTCGTTTTGTTTGTATGTGTGAGGTTAAATGAGAAGCAGGCACTGTGTTCTCCAACACTCCACCCTCCTCATTCCCTCATCCCGCCTCTTGTCTCTCTCCTCTCACACTCTGTCTCACTCTCTCTCTTTCTCTCTCTCTCTCTCTCTGTGATTTATGGAGCGCTGCACAGCTTACTAGGAATCTGTTTCATCTGCTTGCCACAGACGAGAGGCTCCATGCTGATTTCCAGGGACTAGAAAGCAAATAAAGAGAAGGGAGGGAATGGAAGAAAGAAGGAGAGAGAGAAACACTTTTCAGGCCCTCCAAATTATTTTCTGTGTCCTTGAATGGTAACTAGTTTAAGTGTAACCCACTGTGCTCTGGAACAACTCTGTTCACCCAGACATGCAGAAAGAGGAGAACTCCAGTCACAACAGTTAAGACAGTCTCGTAGCACATAGTGTCAGTTGGTAAAGGTATTTGTGTGGCTCATTGTCTTTAAATTGTAGAGTTAAAGGGCCCATATCTTACATTTTCCTGTTTTTCTCCGTGATGTTTGTGGTTTTATGTACCAAAACATAATTTTTTTTTTTACATGGCCATTTCTAGGCTGTTTAATTAAATTAAATTAAACAGGCTGTTTGTTACGTTGTACCTTTAAAACTGATGTATGTAATTATCTTCATTTGTGGGTGGTGGCCCTGTGTTGTACCTCATTCGAATGCAGTCCAGGCTGAAACACTCCTTGTAACTTCAGTCTGAATGGGAGGAGCTAAACTGCTGTAGGCTGAATATGTAAAATGAACAAAAATATTTTTTTTTATTATTGAAACCCTTAAAAGAAAACAGTGTTGTGAAACAAAATTCCTACGTTAGTATCTTGTGTGACCACCATTTGCCAGTAGGAGTGCAACACATTTCTAGGAGAAAACCCTGGATTTTTTAATCAAACTGCTGCAACGTGGGGCAAAACCAAAAGTGTTGCATTTATATTTTACTCAGCATAAATACCTTGGGTTTTTATGACACCACAACAACGAATTGAAAACAGGCTGTTTTTGGGCCTTGGTTTTCATATATAGACTGCATGGTCTGTGACACGAAAACTGAAACCCCAACAATAAAAAACAGAAGCATCGCAAAAACATTGCAGTTTGCCGGCTGGTGTTTAAGATGTCATTTTATGTGCACTGATTTTAGTACACAGGAATTATATTGGATCTTGTACAGGTAAACTGCTGCGTCAGTCCTACTGGGATTTCTAATCTGACTTGTATCCGAGTCCTTATAGGAAATTGTTCCACTCGATGGCTATCTTGGAAACGCCCTGGGCAGTTATTTCCACTCGTACAAATCCAGGCCCTTGTCTTTTTGAATTGGGAGAAACTTAGAAACCTGAAACTGAATGTCACATTAACATTTGGAAGCAATGGTGAAATCTGACAAAAATTGCATAAAAATTTGTAGTGTATTTCGCATGTCTCTGGAATAAAGGAGAGCTCTTCCCACATACGCCTTGGCCAGCAGGGCGATTGGCACTTTTTAATGGAAGGGCAGGACTTTCCCTGTAAACAAACCTTTTTTTTTTTCTTTTTGTGGTTAATACGAAAGGCAGTGGCATAAATACAATAATGAATAAACCTGGAACCTGGAAATATACTAAAACATGTGGAAAACGTGATTCAGAGACAATAAAAAGCAAGAAGTAAAAGTAAAAATAAAGGGAAAGAATGAATAAATAAATAAGAGATGACCATGTTTAGCGTTGCAAGGTTTCCTGTTAATTTCTCAACCGCTGAACTGTGTCTTCCTCTTATCTCTCTGCTTGTTTTTACGCTTAAACTATTTCCTGTTAAATTACCATTATATGCAAGTGTGACACAGGCTTTACATTGACTGTCCCATTGCACAACCAGTTTAAAGTCCTTCTGCTAATGTGTAAATCTCTGGGTGGTCCAGCAGACACTAGATATCTTCAGGCATCTGTTTTGACACAATCATTTTCTCATCGGACCTTAATAAAAAAAAGTAGCATTAGATTCGTCCAGTTCCAAACATCGCTTAACAAATTCAGCACATGTTGCACCAAAATGAAAATTCCTGGCTGAAAAACTGAACGAAAGTTTTTTTGTGTTAGTTAGTTTGTTTTTTTCAAATATGCTGTTTTTATTATGCATTTGATATAATGAGATACACAAGGTAATAAAAATACTGTTGTTGTTATTAAAGAAGTCTGCTTTCATTGGGATAATAAATAAAACTAGTTGACAGATTATTTCAGTATGTAGGCTACAGTGTGGATTCGAGGTACAATACTATATTTACCAGTTGTTTGATTCAAATTCTTTTGGAGAAGGCATTTTGCTAGCATTTAATTTTAAGAAAACCATTGTGCTCATTTCTTCAGTCTTTTTGTGAATGTGGCAGTACTGTTTTGCTGGTGCATTCCAGCTAAATATTGTAATACCTATCATGTATCGCAGTGTTATACTTTCGCCATA